GCGTTCTGAATGTTGATTTAACCTTCGTCTTAAACTAATCAGCTCATCTTCTTGGAAAAATGAAAGAATATCAACATTTTTACACCAGAAACAAAAACATGTATATGAATATAGATCGCCTTCATTTTTTGAGGCTTGTTTATCTAAAAGATAAAAGCCCACTCCAGGGCAACGAGCCCACAGATCATCCACAGACTTGAAACGAGAGCAGCTTGTTCTTCACTCGTCTGTCAGGCTGTCGGCGTCCTCTCGCTCAGGTGTTCCCCTCCCACAGGTGTGCGGGTTTTACCTGCTCTCTGCTGGACTGGATTGGTCTGGTGGCTGCAGAGCTTGGAGCCACTTTGCTTTGCTGCGTCTCTGCTCCAAACTGCAACGACAGCAAACAAAGAAAAACAAGGTAAACAACGCGGTGAATGCAGACTGTCAGCTGACTGCAGAATGAACACTAAAAATAAAAATCCATTAAAGCTCCACGAAGGCTCTGAGGTCTTTGTTCCAGCACAGTTAGCTCTCAAAGGCAAAAACAGACAAGTGTTTCCCCTAAAACAGTAAACTTTACAGCGGGCCTGTCTGCCAGCTGCTTTGCAACCCGCCTCCACCCCAAATACCCTCAGTTTCTCCTGGTGTCTGATCATCGCTGCTGCCACTGCTCAGTAAATCTTGGTGATGTGATGCTCCTGCTCTCAAATAAACTCTCTTTTCTAAAATAAAGGTGAAGACGATAAATCAAACTTGCCTTCTTGAGGCAGACGAGCACAACCTTACTAACTCACAGAGCTGCTAACAGTCAAACAGACTGAAGACAAGACATAATTAACTTTTACAGCCCAGTTTGACCAGCCAAACATTTCTCCTGGGACTCTTTACTATCGGCACAGACGCGTTCCCTGGATGTTTAACAAAAACCAGACACAGGGGCTGATGGGAAACCAGGAGTGCTCAGAAACATAAAACAACAAGAAAAACTTGTATTCAGCAGCAGAGCTAATAAGAGTCGTGCACTGAGGAGGTCAAACCCGTCTTCCCGTAACGTCCAGCCCTGGGTGCACGGACTTAAGGTCACAGATTTGAGGAGGAGCCCAGCGCTGACAGAGTAATCCGTCCTTAAAGCCTCAAAATTTGGAGGAAGAAAACAAAACAGGCAGTTGTGTCGAGACATTATGGAACCAAGAAGACCGACCTTAAAAACATGGCTCAGATTATTTTCTTCGGCAGGTTAGACGACTCTAACATCGTCTGCAGTTCAGCCAGAGCCTCATTAAGACCAGACAGCTGGAGGAAATTACATCCATCCGTGTGTCTAAGGACAGATTTACAAAGCACGAACGGACCTCGGCTCACATATTTGTTTTCTGCTGCCTTAGAAAAAAAGCCCAAAGCCTCTGACTGTGAAGCAAACGTCCTGAACACCTGATTCAGCCGAAACTCCTGTTTTTAATCCTGTTGCTATGACAGTTCTTATTCCTCTGGGCCAAATCACCTTGAATGATCTGAAAACAAAAATGTGACTTTGATGCCTCCTGAGGACAGATGGCTGCGGTTCCCCTCGAAGCTAATGTCAAGAAAACAAAGCAAGCAAGCGAGGCGGTGCTACCGTACCAGGCCGACATTGCTGAGGTCAAACAGGCTGAACGGCCTGGAGGTGACGGCTTCGGTCTGGATGAAGTTCTTCAGGACGTCAGAGGAAGTCGTCTGGATGTAACCGTAGTCCTGACAGACAGAAGGAGAGGACGGTGTTTACACGAGCAGAGGTTCATCAAACGAAAATGTGACTAAAGCTGCGTTCACACTGCAGGCGAAAGCGCATCAAAGCCGATTTTTTGACCCTCTGCGACACATCTATCCCATCATGGTGTGACAGTGTGAACGACACAAATCCGATCTGGGTCACTTTCGTATGTGGTACTGAATCGATACATATCTGTTTCAGAAAGCGACTGCTGTTTGACGGTCACGTCGCATTAAATCCGTCTTTTACGTCACTGACACAAGACAGACGCCGATTATCAGCGCCGGAGAAGACATCGTGAACGCTTCCTGACCATCCAATGTAGATGTCAGTGAAACTGTTGGGAAGACAACGTTGGAGAAACGTGAACATTTTATTTGTTCTGTATAATCTGCAGCTATCTTTTGAAGCAGCGCTCCTCTAAAACAGCAACAAGGATCATTATTAGGTTATTTACATTATTATGTAAATAACAAAATAACTTAAAGCAAAAACTGGGAAACGTGAAGTCCGAACTCTTTATATTAAGGCCATCAGTCACACATGCTGTTGGTCTGGGTCTAAACAGAGCATGTTGTGTGTGACGTCTTCTTTTGCGCATGCGGGCCGCTTTGAGCGTTCACACTAGAGCGCGTTTGCTGTCGCATTTTATTTGTAGTGTGAACGAGCAGACAAAAAAATCTGAATTGAGCAGAGTGAGCGTAGCCTAAATGCTTGTTTCCCTCTAAGAGAGATGGAGCAGGAGGTGCTAAATCTGCACTACAGAAGAGGAAAACATGCTGCTCCACCCACAGCTCATGTTTTTACCTCTTCGCTGTAAACCTGAGCGATAACGAGCTCCACACTGCTTCCACACCAACGGGAAAACTTTCATATAAGTTTGTCCGATGTGAAAAACGACTTTGGATAATTGGAAGAAAATTCATGGGAAATTAATGAGATCATGAACTCATCAGTGAAGCATTAACAGAGGTCACAGAAAAAGTGCGATACGTTCATTTTCACAAAGACTTCTTCACAATCAGACCAGAGTCTTCCCCAGGTGGATATCTGTAAGAGTGCAGGTTTGAGGCTACGTCCTTCTTTACATATATTAAAACTTTACAGCACCACCTGTAGCCAAAAGGGTGGCAGCACGGAGACTCACCACGATCTCGTCCAGCAGCTCGTAGATGAGGGCGAAGTTCATCTGCACCGACTTCTCTGATAGGCTGCCGCAGTAATCTTTAACCAGAGCTGCTAACCTGCAACAAAGAGCATGCTCAGTCAGCTCAGGAGCTGTAACACCATCAGGTGCAGAGCCTCAAACTGTCTGAGGTCACAGCCATCCTCAAACACAAGCAGTCAGCTTACGGATGACCTCATACCTGTTGAGAAACTCGGTAATGGTGAACGGCGAGGAGCCCGCCGTGGTCGTGGCGACCCAGTACAGTCCTCCCTGCCTGATGTGGACGAAGTAAATATCCTTATGATTCTGCAGGAAAACAAAAGATGTTTAACCAGACATGAGGAGAAAATAACTGGCATTATAATCAAACATAATGACTCCTTCTTCTGAAATCTGAGAACAAGCTGCTCATTGTTGGTTTAAATGTTTTTAATTATGAGCTGACTGGACAAAGTCCGGACAGAGAGCAGATGTTGCTGCATTGCAACAGCTTTTGCAGCTGGAACGCTGACCACGTCATGGAAACACATAAAATGAACCAAAACAGACACCAGAACATCATGTGGAGTCCGAGTCACTCACACGGACCAATAATCTAACTGCTGTCAGGTTAACTGTTCTAACAAACCCTTCAAAAAGTCTGAGCTCCACTTTGTGTGTTTGGATGGTCCTGAGCATTAATCAGCAGGTATGCGTGTCTCAATAAAAAGAAGCCATAATTTATTTACCATGACGACCGGAGGCTGGTCTCCGGTCAGCGCCGTGACCTTCTCGTAGAAAATACTGACAATGTCGTTACCAGCTCCTCCACGGACTGGTGGGTCAGGTCAAGATTGATGTTTACACACAAAATAAATAAAGCACATTTTCAGATTCAGAATTGTCCCCATACAGCCGACAGTATGGAGGTCCGGCACTGCCGAAATATATTTACAATTCAAGTTTACTTAATGGGGGACTAATACAGTTATTCATACAGCTTTCATTTGTCCTGAGCTGTTTCCAGCTGTGGGAACAGAAGGATACAGTCTTTATAAATGAGATGGTCCCCCTTCGAGGACAAGATGAAGACCTGAGAGATCATCCTGCTGAGAGACACACAGGAGAAATGAGAAAATAATAATCGTCTTTATTTACTTATATGAATTAATTATGTTGCAAACAAAAAGTGACAGAACTCGGTAACTAAATAAAAACACTGAAAAGGAGATAAAATCAAGTACAATCAGGAAAAAGTTGTTTGTTTTTTAAAGAGGAGACTTTAAGTACCTGAGGCCACGATTTGATTTCCTCAGGCAGATCGAAGCCTCAGAGCTCCTCATGCAAACACCCAGGTGACAATAAAATATTTCGTCCTTAATCAGCTCTAATGATTCTTATGCCGAATTTGATTTTAGAACCAAAATAATCCGAGAAACCCTTAAATGTGATTTTAATGCGTGCATGTGCTAGAAGAAGTGAAAGAATATTTTAAAATGACGGAAACTGTAAGCGACCTCAGTCTAAAGCCATTAGCATGCGGAAATTAGCTTTTCACGCTCATTTTGTAAAGCTGAGGTTAATAGCAGTTACTGATTCACTCACCCACAGATGGCCTCCGGGGAAACAGATGTAAAAATAAATAAATAAAAAAGTAAAAAGGTTTCTTTTAACCCTTTTTTTTTTATCCCTAGGAAGCCATGACTGGCAAGGAAAGCTAATTTACTGATCGTAACTGGGAATTCGAGTGAGCTAACCCAGCATTTATTAACTCAAAACGGCAAAAATAAGATGTTAAAAGGTGAAATTAAAATTTAAAAAAGTTCGTTTGTAAGCTAGATCCCGGCTATCCGGGTAGTTGACACACACACACCACAAGAGCATCTCAGTTGACAGGTTAGTGTTTACAAACCGCGTCATCACCTCGCAGTTAGCGCACAGCGCCGCCAGCAGTGCGGGAGGATAATTTAAGTTAAAATATTTAGAAATGTAACCCCATAAATAGCCTTTATAGCTACATCGTCTTTCTATCAATATCAATTAGTGTCACTCACACTAATGACAGTTTAGACATTTAGCCGTGTAAATGTAGCTCGTTTTAAAGACATCCTAACAGCAGGGGGCAGCACTAGCAGAGGCGGAAATTCAAACGGAAGTTGTTTCTGCCTGAGATTAGCCATTTTCAGCACAGCGTTGATGTACAAACCGTATAGTCGATCATGAAGTAAGTAATTATTTTCTTATTAAGCGTTTAATTTAAGTTTTTTTTATCGTTTACTGATCAATGACAACTATTCGGTAATGATTATAGCATTCGAAAATGACTATTCGCTACCAAAAGCGCCAGCATGAAGATTGTTTGAGTACTTCTTCATGTACAATCTCGTCTCCCAGAATCCATTCAGAAAACCTGAGATTTTATGTTTATTTTCCACCAACTTTTCCCCATAAAATAATCAGACACACTTTCTGCGGTTATTATACAATTACAGGAGCCTTATTTCAATTCGGCATTCAGTAAAATAGCATAAAATGAAGCTTGGACCAGAGTTTGAAGAGGTGATCATCGCCTCCTGTTTTGGCGATAGGCGATTTTCTTTACCGTTGCGGGATGTGTGTTAGCTCACTAAAATAAAAACGAATCAGAGCTTCACAGAGCACAAACACCCGTGTTGCGTTCCTGTCAGTGTGTTCACGGGGCTTTAAATCAGTCATAATCTGAATGGAGTTTGGTCTGTAGAAACAGACGTCATTGCGCTCCACATATCTGGAATCAGTGGTCTTAAAATCAGTTCTGTTTGTGCCTTATGTTTAGGTTTAAATTACATTTCTTTTATATTTTACTGTTTATGGCTTATGTCTTTTTATATTTTTGCCTTTTTATTATAAACTCATATGATTAAGCTCATGTTTCTTCTCCAAATCCTCAAATTTAGCCTTGCAGAAATAAAACTTAAACGCTGGGTTGTACGAGATGAAAGCAGATGACTGTCACATATTAATTACAGATTATGAACCAGGATTCTGAAAAGGAAACACTTTGTTTTCTCTCTGTTTTCAGTCCTCTAACGAAGGTAAAGCTGATAAACGAGCTGAACGAGCGTGAAGCCAGCCTCGGGGTCAACGAGTCCGTTTCCTGGCACAGCGAGTACAAAGACAGCGCCTGGGTCTTTGTTGGTGAGACTGCGTGACAAACTGAATAATCCACAGATGAGCAGATAATGAAAATAATCATTAGTTTAAAGTTGAGGGGAAAATGTAAACTGGGAGGAAGTAAAGGCTTTTCTTTAGAAGCCACATCCTCACATGACTGAATCATTCACCATCCTTTGCCTCTTGGCTGACAGGTGGTCACCAGTCTGCCAAGGTCCTTGGTCAGTCAGGGATGTCCTGTGCTCCCATTGGTTGTCATTTCTGCTTCAAAGTTTCTGTCTCTGCAGCACAAACTTTTTGACTCTTCCTGATCGGCTTAAGCTCCACGTGTCATGTATTAGTGAGCTTAAGAGGTTTTTCATAGACCGATATTTCATATGTTCCAGATAAATGATCGACGGGTATCAAAAAATGGTCCCTATGGACCAATCAGATCTCTGGAAAATGACTTCACTCAATCTGGAAGATCCATGAGACATCTCAGATCGTGTAGTCTGTGTGGAAAATTCCCACTTAAAATCGAATACAAAAACCCTCAGACCGCCTTAAAATCTGTACTCTGAGTGATTCCAGCGATGGTGAAGCTGCTGTTCAGAGATCTGATTGGTCAGGTGATGGTGAGTTCCTACCAGCTGACCTATAATCTTGAACATCACGTGCTCTGGAGCAGGTTAGCTGTGCGTCATAAGCATAAGTTACTGAGGTGGTAATAATGAACCACTTTTGTAACACCAAAGTGAAGCTAGTTTAAAAACCACAAATGCTGTTTCATAGTCACACCTCTGGAGAAGGGGTTTGATGAAGACTTGGCTTTTTGGAAATATTCCTTTTACATGAAACACTCTGAACCATTACCAACCATGGTATCTTCAGCTTTAATAAAGGTGTTTATACTGGAAACAGCAGTGTTGTTTTGTGTTGTTGCAGTGTTTATGTTGCTGACATTAGTGATGAAGTAATGAAAGGTTTTTGGAGAATGAATAAGCAGCGTTTTGGATGTTGTGTTTTCTGCAGGAGGGTTTCCATACGAGCTGACTGAAGGAGACCTGATCTGTGTCTTCTCTCAGTAAGTACCTCATCATTTCTTAACTACACTACTCACAGATGGGGAGCACCAAGATTCACTTTGTCCTGTCAGGTATGGAGAGATCGTCAACATCAACCTCGTGCGTGACAAGAAGACCGGAAAGTCCAAAGGTTTCTGTTTTATCTGCTATGAGGACCAGAGGAGCACCGTGTTGGCCGTCGACAACTTCAACAGCATTAAGGTGAAAGGACACACTCTGCTGCGCTGCTCTGAATCTCGTCTGACTCGTAGCTTGCAGTTTGTTCCTGTTGACACAGAGGTCAGTCATGGAGGTCCACAGAGTCCTGTGTGTCTAATGATACTGTTTGTGTTACACAGGAAAACACTACATCTGCTTTCACTGATATGCAGATGATACCCAGCTGTATTTATCCAGCCACCAGATGACACAAATAAAGTTAAACTACAGTTTAATGATTTAAGAAATGCTGGAGTCATTGTTGACCAGGACATGTCCTTCAACGCACATATTAAACAAATATGTAAGACTGCTTTCTTCCATTTGTGCAACATCTCTAAAGTTAGAAACATCCTGTCTCAGAGTGACGCTGAAAAACTAGTTCATGCATTTATTACTTCCAGGCTGGACGACTGTAATTCATTATTATCAGGACGTCCTAGAAACCCGCTGCAAAGCCTGACCTTGTAGCACCATAATCACCCTGTTAGAGCACTTCGCTCTCACACTGACAGAACGACTTTAGATCCTGAAGGTTTTTCGAGGGTATCGGGCACGCGGGGCCTTTTTGTGCTTCATCCCTTTTACTCACTTTACTAGAGTTTTACAGGGAACAGCTGCAGAGATGATGATCCAGGTTTCTTAAGAAATTGTAAAATTTCGGATGTAAAGTTGTGTCATCAGCGTGGTCTGTCCGAACTATGATGAGGAGCAGGTGAACACTAATGTTGTTTTAATGGCCCTGAAGGAGTCGTGGCTACATGATAAGCCACCTGACTCATGTAGATTTAAACGTTCATGTCCTCGAGCTTGTTGTGAGCCGACATCTATCCCACATGGTCACATGACCCAGAATGCAGTTCTTTTTTTCATTTTTTTCCAGCAAATTATCAGAAAACGGAAACATCCAGAGGGTTCGAGCTCCTGTGTTGACAGAAAACCTTTTTCCTGGGAGTGTTTTTACTTTGATTTTTCTATTAAAAGAAGCCAGATCATGATGTCAGACTAGAGAAACAATCATGAACCTCATTTTCCTACATGGATGTGAGGCAGCAGATGACAGACTTATTTAAATACTCATATGAAGGCAGTTAGTAAAGGCCAGTCTCAGCCCTGGCTCAGAGACTGAACGATGAATTTTAATTCCTGTTAATGTTGTTGTCAAGTGTGAGTCTGCAAATATTCAACGTGTGAAGCTGAAGTTAATGTACGTAAACTATCAGCTGTTTGTGACGCGGTGGCTGGTTGTTCGATTGACTTCAGGACTTTAAAGGTTCCAGTGAGAGTTGATCTCTGACTGTTGGTTTGTGCTGTCAGATCAAAGGTCGCACGATTCGCGTTGACCACGTCAAAGACTACCGACCCCCCAAAGACGGCGAGGACATCGACGACGTGACCAAGCATCTGAGGGAGGAGGGCTGCGCTCCCAAAGTCGGCGAGTCTTCCCCCTCCTCTGAGGATGACGAGCAGTACGCCGTACCTGTGAAGAAGCCCAAGAAAGGTGATGTCACATCCTGTCGTGTGAAACCCGCCTGACACAAGATGAGGTGGATTTTTATTTATCTTCATTCTGCGCTCTCTGTTTCAGACAAGAAAGAGAAGAAGAAAAAGAAGAAGGAGAAGAAGAAGGACAGGAAGAGCAGAGCCTCTTCTTCATCACCACCTCCTGTTTCAGTCAGAGTCAAAGAGGAGAAAGAGGACGCCGGGTACGACAAATACAACCAGAGAGGGCCGCCGCCAAAGCCAGGAGGACAACCGAATGGACAGACAGCGAGACACAACGAGAGACTGAGAGGGGAGGAAGAGGAGGAGAGGAGGAGGAGAGACGCAGATCGGCAGAGAGAGGAAGAAAAGAAGAGGGGTCACGAGAGGGAGAATGACAGAAGCAGAGATAATGATAGAAGACGAGAGACGGAAAGAGAAAGAAGAAGAGACGCAGATCGGGACAGAGATGACAGGCGAAGGGAGAGAGACAGAGACGATGACAGGAGGAGGTAGAAGAAGAACATGGGAGACAGACATGTTTAAATCCAAGCTGAAATCAACACAGATGAATATGTTTTAGTCCATTCTTAGATATTCATTTGATATTTCGTTCATGTCAGCCTTTTATGCATTATTCCTAAATGAAAATGCTTCTGGCTCCTGTGTGAGCTCTGAAACATTCAGCCCAGCACTGGTGTCACTGCTGGCTCATCGCACCACAGCGAGTCTGAAGTTCAGCTTCTGTTTAAACTTTACGTGAAAAGCTTGAAGTCCACACGTCTGTCTGACAAAACGTTGATGTTTGTTTTACAATAAATCAATATTTCTAGTTTTGGCATGAACTCATTTTAAGCCCGTCCTGGTGACATCACGATGATGCCTCAGTTTGTTTACATTTGGAAAGAGTCGCATAAATGAAAAAGACTTCTGTGATTTTGTGCTTTGCTCAGAAAAATAATTTCAATGGCAGATTTAAACATTCGTGTAAATGCGGAAAATAACATCAACAGTACATTTAATCTATTAGATCAATTAGTTTATTGATGCAGCACCAACAGTCACCTCAAAGCACATATTTTAATGTAGAGATACTACAGTAATGAGGTCTACTCTGGAGCCTGTTCTGGCATTTGTGCCATAGAAACTGAACATCATTTAATAATAATCCCTGAAGCCCTCATTTATTTCTTAATAACATTAAAATCTACAATAATGGATTCCACAGCAGTGGGTAACATACGTCATCACAGCAGACGACTTTCTGAAAGTGCTGTCACTAAGTTAAAGGATTTCTTGTAGCTGTGTACCACCACAGCTCAGAGCAGCTACCTGAACTCGCAAAGAGATTGATCATGTTAATAATTTTACACCTTCTGTGCAAGGACTCTGGATACTGGGTCCTCTGAAAACAAATGCCTCAGATCACAAGTACGTGAGTCCCTGGTAGAACTTGCTCTTCAACAAAACGGGCCTCTGTAAAGCTCCAATATCTTGATGTTCTTTTCATCAGTGATTGATGAAAAGAACATCAGGTTCGTCTCCAGGCTGACAAAAATGCTGTTGAGCCAACTATTCCTTTAACATTAACTAGTAAAATAACATTTTAACCATTAGAGAAAATACCAAATCCAATGCCACTGATATTACAATACTTTCATAACAGTTGATCTTTCTGAGTTAACTTCAATAATTACTTCCTCCAAACCATCAACCTGTCTTTTAGACCCCATTCCTACAAAACTGCTCAAAGAAGTCCTGCCATTAATTAATTCTTCGATCTTAAATATGATCAACCTATCTCTAGTGATCGGCTATGTACCACAGGCCTTCAAGCTGGCTGTAGTTAAACCTTTACTCAAAAAGCATCTCTAGACCCAGCAGTCTTAGCTAATTATAGGCCAATCTCCAACCTTCCTTTCATATCAAACATCCTTGAAAGAGTAGTTGTCAAACAGCTAACAGATCATCTGCAGAGGTTTATTTGAAGAGTTTCAGTCAGGTTTCAGAGCTCATCACAGCACAGAAACAGCTTTAGTGAAGGTTACAAATGATCTTCTTATGGCCTCTGACAGTGGACTCATCTCTGTGCTTGTCCTGCTAGACCTCAGTGCAGCGTTCGATACTGTCGACCATAATATCCTATTAGAGCGATTAGAACATGCTGTAGGTATTACAGGTACTGCACTGCAGTGGTTTGTATCATATCTATCTAATAGACTCCAGTTTGTGCATGTAAATGGAGAGTCCTCTTCACACACTGAGGTTAATTATGGAGTTGCACAGGGTTCAGTGCTAGGACCAATTCTGTTTACATTATACATGCTTCCCTTAGGCAGTATCATTAGAAGACATAGCATACATTTACACTGCTATGCAGATGACACCCAGCTCTCTGTCCATGAAGCCAGATAACACACACCAATGAGTTAAACTGCAGGAATGTCTTAAAGACATAAAGACCTGGATGGCCGCTAACTTTCTGCTTCTTAATTCAGATCAAACTGAGGTTATTGTACTCGGCCCTGAAAAGCTTAGAAATATGGTATCTAAGCAGATTCTTACTCTGGATGGCATTACCTTGGCCTCCAGTAACACTGTGAGGAACCTTGGAGTCATGTTTGACCAGGACATGTCCTTCAACGCACATATTAAACAAACATGTAAGACTGCGTTCTTCCATTTGTGCAACATCTCTAAAGTTAGAAATATCCTGTCTCAGAGTGACGCTGAAAAACTAGTTCATGCATTTATTACTTCCAGGCTGGACGACTGTAATTCATGGGGATTCAGTTTTCAGGCCCCTCTTCTGTGGAACCAGCTTCCAGTTTGGATTCAGGAGACAGACACTACTTTCAAGATTAGGCTTCAAACTTTCCTTTTTGCTAAAGCATATAGTTAGGGCTGGACCAGGTGACCCTGAATCCTCCCTTAGTTATGCTGCAATAGACGTAGGCTGTCGGGGATTCCCATGATGCACTGAGTTTTTCCTTTCCAGTCACCTTTCTCGCTCACTGTGTTAATAGATCTCTCTGCATTGAATCATCCATCCGTACTTGGAAGGATGGATGATAACATGACTTAAACTTTTTATTAATCTCTGGCTGTTTGTCCTGTCGTCCTCCCCTCACCCCCAGCAGATGGCCCCGCCCCTCCCTGAGCCTGGTTCTGCTGGAGATTCCTGTTAAAAGGGAGTTTTTCTTTCCCACTGTTGCCAAGTGTTTGCTAATATCAGGGTCGTCTGATTTTGGGGGTTTTCTCCTTATTATTGTAGACTCCTCACCTTACAATACAAAGCACCTTGAAGAAACTGCTGCTGTAAGCTAAACTGAGTTAAGGTGCCTGTTGAAGACTCCGTCAGATTCTAATAAGCTCAGCTGTCAGTTGAGCTTCAGTCCTCAGAATTGTTGCCATGACAACATCTCCACTTCCTGTCACTCTGGAGCAAATAAATTTGTGAAATTTGGATTGTGACCCAGTCCTTCCAAATTCAAGATCGTATCTTTTATCAAAATAGTTTTTGAACTGCGAGTTTTTGCACAAAAGTTTCTTTTTCTGTTACTGTGTCATAAATATGGTCACAGGATGGATTCAGAGAGAACTTGAACCTGCTCCTGAGGGAACGTCCTCAAACTACAGTGTCTTTCTGGCACTTAGCAGGTACCTAAAAAAAAATTAAAAAAATAAAACAAAAAAAAGCCTAAACTTTGAGCAAAAGCAGCAAAAAATGTGAAAAAGATGAAAACAACTTTAATATTTAGTGTCCTGGTATTTTCTTAAAGACTAAATCGTGTCTCTAGCTGAAAGTACACAGCATCAGCCTAAGTTCAAAGTGAAGCCAGTTTAATACGTACACCACCCTCTTTTCCAAATATGGTAAAAAATTTGATGCTCATTTTTTTACTGATGGTTTCGAACTGAAATGTTAAAATATTTTGGTGTACTCCAAACGATGAGGAGAAGTTCAGTTTATTAATGGAAGGAGGAATAGCAACATGAAGGTCAGCGTAAACAAACCTGTTTATTACAGAAACATCACAAACTGAGCTTTACAACAGAAACATCACCGTGAGCGTAGAAAACGTACTCTGGAAATCTCAAACAGCAGCACAAATACGTGTGAAAACAAAGAGTGGGAGGAATAAATCTTTAGAAAATAGACTGTCCCTTTAGCTTCATTTACAATATCTCAAAATATTTCATGGAAAGTCGGCGTGAAAGTGATTATTGTTGAGTGTGTCTGTGGACACGAGCGTCCCGGGTTGTGGACCTCCCTGTGCGTCCTCATGCTTCATTTCCAAGGCTGTTAAAACTGAGTCTGATTCTTTGTTGGCATTCAGAGGCTGGAAAACCCTCATTCAAATATGAACACATGATGGAGGCTCAAGACTTTTGCACTGTGTGTGTGTGTGTGTGTGTGTGTGTGTCAGCATTTTTCTTATGGTGCCATAAAACTTCTTTGCTATGTGGAAGTAAACGTGCTTTCATCCGAAGAGTAAAAAGGTTTCTTCGTCACTCCAACACTGGGAGGATGTTTCCTGCTCTCATTGTTTGTGATCAAAGATTCACATCAAACTGCAGCGAGCACTTTGAACTTTGAAAAATCACAAAATGATCCGCAAACGGAAAAACGGGACCCTGAAACCGGGACACTCATGTCGAGGTAACCACACCTGGAGACAAGAGACAGCAGTGTTTGCTCTGTGTTTCTACTGTGTGCACATACAGCAGTCATATTAGAATAAGCCTTTTTCCTGCCCACTCTGGAAATGTGGGATGTGACAAGTTTTATGACAAATAAGCTCAAATTTGCAGTTTTCTGTTCACGACCCACCAGTCAAGCATAACACACCACAGAAACACGATAATCATCGAGCAGGTACGAAGGAGCCGGGTGTGTTTTTCTACAAGCACAGAAATCTAATGACTACAGCTCAAAAGCAGAAGTCAGCCAATCAGAATAAGACGTAACTCTGAATCATACAAAGCTACCCTCTAAAGAAAATCCAGAGCTGGATGAGACACTTGGATGAATGATGGGAAGAAATCGGCTTATTTTGGACTTTTCTTCATCTTCATGAACACAGAGGAAACGCCGCTGAGCTCGGAGGGCTTTGCGGTTCAGTTACAGACATGTCTGTGGTCAGAGGTATCTTTCTGGTCAGTTGCTATGACGGTTTCACGAGAAGGAATTTAGTTTTTAAAACCCACATTTCCACATAAATACACGAGTTTGTGTCGGTCGTGTCTCTGTGGCGTTGAGCAGACGAGCAGCTCTCCGTTCTTCTGAACACATCGTTGCGTTTTTCTGTTTCCCAGAAGCAGCACATCAGCACCAAGGCCCCTTTAGAAAGCGGGTGAATGGGAGGAGGTGGTTAGCGGTAGAAAAGTAAGGCGCTGGCGGCTAAACGGACTGCAGGAGGAGGGACGGGAGGATTATTCCTCCATTTTACTGCTTTTATCAGAGATTAAAGAAAGTCTGAGGATTAACTGAGCACAGCTCAGGTCAAAGGCCGACCTCCAGTCAGAGACCCGCCATCAGTCACCATCTGCAGCTGCAGGGATCTGAACCGGCAACCTCTCAGTCAGAATGTTGGTGTTCACATTACTCTGCTTTACCTGAACTGCTGGCAGCCTTCTTCCACCAGCTGACTCCAGGTCTGTGGAGCTTTTTCACAGTATTTGTTTTTTATGAACACAGACGGATTAACCTGCAGATCATTTTCTATACGTGCATATTAAAAACACAGCTGACAGCCCGACCCACGGCCCTTTCTTTACTGAGTTTATCAAAAAGGTTTAAAAAAGTGTGAGGAAACAGCCAATGAGAATGAGAATGACAGTTTTTAATTTACTGACACGTGACAAAGAAAACTAACGACTCAGACAAACATTTTCCTCGGATTAAAAGTGTCTAATTCCTCATTTTGCTTTAAATTCCAGTCTTAAAATGACATTTATCCTCTTTCATACTAAAACGTTACAGCAGAAATAAACATGTTCACATGCCTCACCTCTATGGACATGTAGATAGTTTTCACCAACTTCTTCAGTGCACAGAGATTATTGAAATAAGTCAAATTCACCTTGAATAATATTTCCTGAATATTTTTGGTCTGTTGGCAACAAGGTTAGACTCATTTTCCGCTCTGTCCTATAATCACTGGATGATTTCTTTGTTATATGTGATACTAAAGCAAATATCTTTACATTCTCCACTTCCTTTCAACAAAAAAGCCAAAACAATAAATAATCTGCACATTAACCAATAAAGAAGCCACGGCTGAACTCTGCATGTTCAGAATCTCTCTGTAAACAACTAATCAGACGTGAACGTTATCAGAGCGTTTCCTGAACCATTAACTGTGAACGTCGTAACAGTCGTGGTGTATTTGGCCTCTGCTGGTGAAGAACGTAAACTCAGTCTGATAGCACCAGAACTGCAGAGCAGAATATTGTGAACACGCCGGCCTGACAGGAAGCCGATTAACCCGACGCAGGAAGAGGGAGCCGCTTCGGCAGAGAGAAGTGTTTGTTTCCACCAATGAGGACCGAGTCCTCGGGAGTTTAATCTCTAACCAGGCCAGACGTCCTGGCTGCGGTCGAACCAGCAGATCCGACCGTTCCTCCATCGAGGACAGTGTTGGAGGCTCGAGGTGACGCCCTCGTTTCCAGACAGGTAACCAAAGGACATTCTGCCCCACGTCCATCGTTAGCTGACCACAGAGGTCAAAGGGCTGCTGCTGACTGTTTGAGCCGACTCCTCGAACGACTCCAACTGAGGCTGTCAGCAGGTGCACTCTGCACCTCCTTAACTCCTCCCTTGGCAGGAGGCTCCCCTCGGCTCCGTCAGCACATGGAGATGGTGACGTTGATCCCCAGGTTACCATTGTCAGCGAACAGATGGGCGATGGAGGTGTCGAAGACCAGGCAGTCACTGTTCATGATGGCGGCGGCCACGCCATCGTGGATGGAGCGCGGCGTGGCCTCCCAGGTGAGCCGGCGCCGGTTGCCGTTTAGCTCCAGGCGATAAGCGAAGTTTTCGGCCTGCTTACGGGTGCCGATGAGCAGCACGACAGCAAAGAACTGCTGGTGACCTTCATACTTCTCCTGCTTCTCCAGCACCAGCATGAAGTGGTGGCTGAAACATGACTGCATCATCACCCAGTCGACGGCGCCCGGCAGATTGATGTCCGTCGCCAGGAAAACGATGTCCTCCCCCTGCAGCACGGAAACAAGTACCGATTAGGAAGAACTCAACGTTTTCACACTTCACACCTGAAATCATGAGGAAAACAAGCTGAAGAACCAAGAAGTGCTGTGGTGTCAGAGACGTGAGCAGAAAAGGTGAAACGTTCACTTACACGAACGTCACACAGTTAAGAACACTTGTGATCCCGTTTCTACACAGTGCCGTGTTTCTCTGTTTCGCTGCTGAGGATTCCTTAATAATTTACATTGTTTGTCTCAGCAGCTTGTAGACCTGATGTGTAGGATGTCCTGAAATCTCTCCTAGCTGCGTTCCAACTACATCCTGCATGTTCAGTTGGTGAGTAGTTAAATCTGCTGGTTACTTCAAACGGCGCTTTTGTTTGATTCAGAGGTTCCACTGATACTGAATGCAGGGCCTTACACTGGTTAACGGTTGGAACGCTGACATGACAGCTCGACATTCATTGTGGATGCATTGTGTTAAAGCCCCAAAGTGCAGAAACAGTCAGAAGGACAGGCTGCAAACAAAGATGGTTCCCACTTTGCCCGTGTTTCTACCCCATACTGTGTGTCTGTAGAATCAAAGTTTGGATCTTGACCTGCAGCGTGGTGATGGACTTGTGAGCGTGCATGAGGTGAGGCATGACGGCCTCCAGTGAGCCATGCCACTTGCAGGTGGCTCCTGGGCACGGGCAGGTGTACGGCCTGAACTCGCACACCTCCTCGTGATCGGGCTTCTCGCTGTGGTGAAGAGACAGCGGGCAGCCGGCTGACGAATACTGCAGGGAGGACACACAACACAGTTAGAGGCACGCTCGACCTGAAACATCAGCTGCTGAAGGAAAGTCGCATCTCACATGAATATTACATCAAGGAAATTGACCCTTTTCTCTCACCGACAATCTACTTGAACTAATGTGGAAGTGCTTTAAACTTGCATTCTTTTCAATGTTGTAACATGACGGGGAAAATGACCCTTGGCCATGACCGGTGTTACCGCTTTGATGAGTTCATGGACTCACTCAGATCATACTTAATAAAAGTCCATTAAGAGTCAAAGACTGGTTATGCTCACTGGCTAACGTACAGTTTTTCTGCCATCGTACGGTTTCTTGTTGAGATCCGGCCCTCGCCATCCAGGTTCAGCGTAAACACTCATCTTGAGGAAGTAACAACATTTATACTTTCTACAGTTAAAACTACGCTGTGTGCTTAAAACAGAATAAACACAGAAAAGTTGTAATATTTTTAGTCATTGTTAGTTTGGTTCGTTTTAAAAACTAAACTGAAACATTGTTATGTTAGTCCAGGTCCAACACAAACCACTTTTCATTTCAACGGTTCATTGATGCTTCTGTACTGATGTTTTGCCATTTCCACATTTTTCCTCCTGATAAATGTCTGAACTGTTGCCTCGGCTCAGAGGACATTAAATGAGGAGTAATTTAAATTTTCTGGATGAATTAAGAAGCTGGGATATAAAGACAGCCGATGGCTGCTGCCTTTATGCAGACAGGAGTGCGTTACTGTAATGGCTGCAGCTGTCTCCTTCATTTTCTGAAACGCTGAAGGTCACAGCGGTGAGACTCTCCCTCCCTCATCCCGTTTCATCTCCAACAACAGACTGACTACAGACAGACGGAGCTTATAGCGGGGCATGAAGGGGGGGGAGTGATGAGGAAGGCAGTAAATGAGGTATGAAAACAGCGAGGCGGTGAGGAGCTCAGGGAGACGGGAAGGCTCTCGGGGGAAGCGGACGATGTCGTTAGCGATGCCGTTTGAACATCGCCCCCTGGTTTCGGCGTGCTGGGAGAGCATCCATAAACATGAGGGGAGACACATCCAGACAAGAACGGCGTGTTCAGAAGATGACTGCTGATTGGGTGGTTTGACACCGGAACACCACACAGTACACGCTCTGCACCCAGCTGTCACAGCACATCATCGAGATATGGATCCATTATTTATACATCAAATATATGCAGGAGAGTAGCTTTGAACAGAAAACAGGATCCCAGATGCAGAACGGACATCTGTGCCATGTCTCTGATGTTCAATGTCATATCTTTCCCAGTCTTACTAACGCGGTGCTGGAATGGGGCAGACATGTGCCCCGAAGATTTTTAAACTTCAGGAAGCACCTCTCAGGTCTCATTGGCCACTTTGTTCAGCTAAAGCATGATCTCATTTTAAGATTCTTCAAACTTAGAGGAACTATGGAAAAAGGTCTCAAAGTCTTGGAGATAGTCCACTCTTCTTAAGCTCAACTTCTACATCGGTGTAGCCTACACAAGGTTCAACTGTAGCACTTACATTACATTCATACTATACATTAGTCAGTTCAAACTGATCCATTCTGCCGATCAAGGTGAAAAATGGTGACAGAAGCAGCTGGAAATGTGAGGAAATAATCACAGTAATTGTGGGCTGTGCCAACATGACATTAGCTGTACTGAGAGTGCAAGTCAGGTTATGGAGTAAGCTCTGCGTAAGGGTTTCAGGATATGGTAAATGGCCTGTATTTATATAGCGCTTTACACATCCAGTCATCCACACATTCACACACACAGTCACACACTGGTGATGGCAGCTACATTGTAGCCACAGCCACCCTGGGGCGCACTGACAGAGGCGAGGCTGCCGGACACTGGCGCCACCGGGCCCTCTGACCACCACCAGTATGCAACGGGTGAAGTGTCTTGCCCAAGGACACAACGACCGAGACTGTCCAAGCCGGGGCTCGAACCGGCAACCTTCCGATTACAAGGCGAACTCCCAACTCTTGAGCCACGATCGCCACCAGGATACTCCGTAGACTCAACACAAAAGTACAAAGTAAAGTATGACTGAGTGTTTCTCTAGGACTTAAGAACCATCAGTACGTTCACACCAAACACAAAGTTTTTCTTGAACTTAATGTTCTGCTCCTCCTCTTCCCATCAGCTGGGCAATTTTTCTGTGTCCGTCATGAATGAATATGTTCACACAAGCAAGAACTGGTCTGTTTTTCAGGGATTTTGGTTTTTAGCAGAGATGGCACGATACCACTTTTTCATGTCCGATACCGATATGAATCTGATATAGTGTGTTTTTAATATCTTGCTGCATTTTGTATAAGTTCATACTCAAGTTTTAAAAAACAAAACATTAAAGCTATTCTGTTATACCTGTATGTAAAAAAAAAAAAAACTTTGGGTGTAAGATTCAGATAATTATTTATTAAAAGCTCGACATGACAGAATAAGAAAGAAAAGTATGTCTTTGTGCCCCCCTTTCCCTGTTCATGCCCTATCAGCCCCCCTGGCTAAACTTTGCTAGATCCGCCCCTGCACAGTTACCAGCGTCAGCTACGTAGAAAAAGATCCTCGAGTAGAAAGTAATAATAAATAAATTCTAACAACAGCTGATCAAGCTTAAACGTGCAGCTGTTGTTCAGCCGCTGGTTTCCTCTTTCTGGTGCAAAGTGGGCCAAAAGCAAACCAGAGAGATGGACTCGCGACAGAAAAGCCGATCAGCTGATCGTTAAGCAGTTTCATGATTGAAGTAGCAGCAGCAGAGAGAGAGGCAGTCGCTCCATATATCGCTTGTTAAGCTTAACGCAGGAATGCTTTACAAACACTCAGAGATGAACTTACACACTTGCTTTACTTCTCTGGGATCACTTCCTCGGAGATGAAATGCTGGTTTGGTAGCGACGCTCCGAATGCTCAACCAGGTCTCGCACGCCACAGCCGCTCTATCACGTGAGCACACTGCTCCGACGTGCTACGGTTATGAGCCGAGTTACGCCATGTCACAAGTTTTGTGAGGTGCTTTGATGATATTTAATGGATCGGATTACATTTTTTATTTCTCTCCGATATCGATCCAGTAATTTAGGTCAGTATCGGACCGATACGTGATATCGGATCGGTCCGTCTCTAGTTTTTAGTAGAGATGGACCGATCCGATATTACGTATCGGTATCGGTCCGATACTGACCTAAATTACTGGATCGATATCGGAGAGAAATAAAAAATGTAATCCGATCCATTAAATATCATCAAAGCACCTCACAAAACTTGCAACGCGCCGTAACTCGCCTCAGAACGTTAGCACTCGGAGCAGTATGCATCACGTGATAGAGCGGCTGTGGCATGCAGGACCTGTCGGTGGTCTGGATAGCATGTGGAGCTTCGCTAGCAACCCGGCATTTCATCTCCGACAAAGTTATCCCCGAGAGAAGTAAAGCAAGTGTGTAAGTCCATCTCTGAATGTTTGTAAAGCATTCCCGCGTTAAGCTTAACAAACGATATATGGAGCGACTGCCTCTTCTTGCTGCTACTTCAATCGTGAGTCCGTGTCTCTGGTTTGTTTTTGGCCCACTTTGCAACAGAAAGAGGAAACCAGCGGCTAAACAACAGCAGCACGTTTAAGCTTGATCAGCTGTTGTTAGAATTTATTTAATATTACTTTCTACTCGAGGATCTTTTTCTACGTAGCTGACGCTGGTAACTGTGCAGGGGCGGATCTAGCAAAGTTTAGCCAGGGGGGCCGATAGGGCATGAACAGGGAGAAGGGGGCACAAAGACATACTTTTCTTTCTTATTCTCATTTAAAATGTCGAGCTTTTAATAAATAATTATCTGACACCCAAAGTTTTAATTTGATGTAAAAGGAATAGAAGTCAATTACTGTATATAGTGACTATTAAGTCTAATATATATACCCTAGTAAGCTATAGTACTTTTTCCTTTGGGAAGGTACCATCTGTGCAGTCTGCAATTTTGTTGAAGAAAGATGTTGAATCTATTTAATATTTCTTGAAAAATAATTGATTTCTGTGCATTTTTTTCACACTGCATCAAATTAAGGTTGATTACGTCGATTAAGCATCATGAGGTGGAGCGTGAGGGGTGGTTCCCTATTTTTTATTTATTTATTTTTGTTGTTGCTGGGAGTTGGAACCCTATTAGTTAGGTTGCTTAATATTTACGCTAAGTACTCTTTAAAATACCAGAATAGGGAGGATGGTGTAGGCTTAAGTTTATTAGATTGATCAGTATTGCTGAACTATGAAATATTTTTTTTGCATACAGGTATAACAGAATAGCTTTAGTGTAGTTGTTGTTTTAAACTTGAGTATGAACTTGCAGACTTGCAAATTGCAGCAAGATATTTTAAAAAACTGTTTTGTTGATTAAAAAACACTATATCGGATTCATATCGGTATCGGCAGATATCCAAATTTATGATATCGTATCGGACATAAAAAAGTGGTATCGTGCCATCTCTAGTTTTTAGTTCCTTCCTCAGTCTCTAGACTTCATTTAGACTCCTGCAGCAAATCTAAATCCAACTCACGCATTAACCACAAAACCCTTTTAACTCCCACACAGCAACGTTTCACGCCATCCAAGTTGCCGTGGTATGTGTCGGCCTAATGTGTAGTCAGATGCACATCAGGTTATGTAAAAGGTTTTAGGTTAGGGTTAAACTGGGGTTCTGGTTATGGTGTAAGCCATAAACCCGACGCAGAAGTACAATTCAAGTTTAGGAGTAACTGATATTTAGTGTCGGAGTTCCATCCATCCTTTTTTTCCCGCTTATCTGGGGCCAGGTCACCGGGGCAGCGGTCCAAGCAGGGAAGCCTCCTCCAGCGAGTCCTGGCTCTGCCTGACAGTCGATTTAGAAATTAGCTAATTTTTCTAACAGTCGTTAAAACTCTTGTTAAGTTATGAGTCACGCACAGCTCAGAGCTGGAGGTCAAGGAGGAATGCAGAGCAACCGGTGAATTAAC